GGTGATGCTGTCTAGAAACCTAAAAATATAATCAGGGAAAATAAAAACTGCTTTGGGTTTCACCAAATTGCTTTGATCATCCACAAGTAAACTGTCGTGCTGAAGTGACTTCATGGACTGAGCCTTCTTGGGGCTGAAGTCCAATTGTGCCTCAGTGAAAATGTGTTTTATACCAGTCCAAGCAGCTCAGGAGCACAATCTCTCACTGGGCAGATCTTTTTGTATTGAGCTCAGCAGAAGAATCTCTCTGAATGCAATGAAGAGTGATCAAGCACTCTAGAATGTATTTTGAGAAAAATACCATAGAGTGTAAATAGTTGCAAGCAGAAGTAGAAGCAGTCATTATTTTGCTGGAAATCCGTTTCCGCCCAACACTCGACTAGGTAATCTGGTTTTGGAATTTCACTGAGGTTGTAGCAATTCAGTGGCAAGCCACAAAATGTACAAACCAAAATAGTTGCAAACAAATGCTTCTGTATTAATAACAGCAGAAGGCAATTATCTGCATTGCTCTTTGGGGAAAGTGGAGATTCACTTATCTGAAGAGCGCTGTGATACTGAGGTACAGCAGAAATTGCTTTCTTTAAAATTTTTACTTATTTCCTGAAGGAAGAGAGTTTTATCTGAACAATCTGAACCCAAAAAGTGTACACAATGATGTTCTGAGAATTCTTCCCTGTGTTTGAGAGCTGAGTTTGGCTGTTATGGTTAACAGCACTCTAACATTAAAGGAAATTATGTACATGATATTTCTGTCAATGCAAGATTTTGCCTCCATCTTAGACATGTGGACTTTTCTATTTTTATTTATGCATAGATTTGTTTCCCAGAATGACACGTGTGTTAAATTTAGGCTTTATTCTCAAACTAAAATATGTGGTTTCTTCTAGCAGCCTCAAGGAAAAGTTTATCCCTTGCCATTTATGAGGTTTGCAGGTCAGATCTTAGGCTGGAGGAGAAAGAGGGGAATTCCTTTTCTCTTTATGGTGTTAGTGATGATATAAACCTATCTCCAGCACAGGCTGAACTGGTAACACTTCCAAGCTCCTTTCCATTTCCAGCCCTTTCTCCAAAGGTGGATGTGGAAAGTGCTGTAGCAGCACAGGGCCCCGTGGATGTGCTGTCACACCTGTAAGTAGGTGAATTGTGTAACCCCTGTGGATTTCTCTATTAAAGGCAGAAAAACTTACTCCATAACTTTCTCAGTGTCCCTGAATTATTGGGCTGTGTCTGGTAAGTCAATGGACCTGCAGGACCAGGGATATTCAAATGGATCTCAGCTTGTGGGACCCTGTCCCTGCCTCCTCACTGTTTATTTTCTTCTCTCCTTGCAGAGATGTGTGAATTCAGCTCTTCCCCAGGGAAACAGCCAGAGCTGGTGCTGGGCTGTGGGGATTTCTCTTTTCACTCAGGGGCTGGGACAATCCTTTAAAATACAAGAACTGTACTTGATGTTTCTTGCTCCATTATCAATTTTGAGATGTTAATCTTTTCTGTTCATGACACTGTTGTGACCCCCATGCTGGATGATGTTCTTTCTTTTATCCTTTCACTAGAATTTCTTTCTGTTTGGCATAAACAAGCACTTCATGGACAACCTCAATCCACTGATTGATAGATGACTGTCCAAATCGTCAGGAGATCATACCTGGTGTTCTGGTGCATAAATATGTATCTATTTCATTGCAAAGTGGTTTGCTGCCACAGACAAGAGCCTGCCATCAGCACACCCCACAGCCTGACACTGAGGTCAGTCCAGCACATTCCAGAACCTGATTGCCTGTGTGAGAAATGTTGATTGAAATTTTTGCAATTAAGCAGGAGAAGGAAGAAAAGCCAGATTTAGCTCACAGTTGCTAAGAATGTTCTAACTCTGGAGCTTGATCTCCTGCAAGGAAGCAGAGCTGTTCCACCCATTCTCTGCTCCAGAATTCATCTGTATTTGCTTCCACATTTTCTCTGCTTTTAAGTGCTGAAAGTGAATTGTTCCACTTTGGAGTATTTTGTTTCTCATAACTATTGTTTGTTTCAGCAAAGTGAGGCCGACTAAATTTTGTGTTAAATGTTTTGATTTCTGTACACTGGTTGCAACTCAAACAGAAAATCAGTTATTGAATGCAATTTTCACTCAGCCAAAAAAGGAGTTCCTTTATATTCTGACTTTGCATGGTGCCAGGAGGGGGATAAAGGAAAATGCCAGAAATGTGGTTATTGGAAGCTTTTTTTTTTCATGCTGTTAGCATTGACTGATTGTGCATTTTGGGGTGCATTGGGTTTTGGTTTGTTTTATTGCCTGCTCTTTTTAAAGCCAGTTATTTTTAAACTAGATTGTGTAACAGTACTTCAGTGTTTTCTAAACTTGAATAAAACTTCCCTTTAGAGTCAGCAGTTTTTACCAGTAACTTTTACAGTTAATGAAATAATTGTGAGCAGTTTCCTCGGAAGTTTCATGTTGGGGTTTTGTTTTTTTGTGCAGTGGCCCTTGCTGTAGCTGCTGTCCAAGGAGATCCTGTTTGCCCTGCTGGTGGAATGGGTTCTGTACAAACATCCAGGGAAGGCTGAAACCCTGCTGGGAGGAACTTAGCTAACACTTGAGTGTCTTCAGCCACAGAGCAGCATCACTCCAAAATCCATCATGGTCTGCTACAACTGAGTCTTTCCAATTTGCCTAAGGGCAAATCAACAGTCCTAGTGCTAATGTACATCTGTTAAGAGCTGTAAGAACAGCAGAGGCTGTGAAACTCTGTGGCTGAAATACCAAATGGTGATTACTCCTGTAATGTGTTTTGTGACTCTTTGGAAGCTGTCAAAAAACCCCATGAATGATGCAGCATGTTAATCTGCTTCAGCAAAGTGTTGCTGTGTGCAACCCAGTGTATGTTGGGGGGAAGATAAATGAGAAAATGCACATAAACAGTGGAGAGAGGAGATCCCACAGATATATGTCTGTGGGTCTGTGGGAGTGGATTGAGGGCTGGAAGGTGAGTGAATAATCTAAGATAGGGAAAAGTAAAAATGAAAAATAAAAAGTACAAAGAAAATAAAAGAAGGATGTCATGGTAGTTATTTACTAAAAGTCCTTTTTGCTGTTTTAAGCTAAAAGCACAGACAGGTTGATTCCAGTGTTTTATCCAAAATAGCAATATTCCCCTTGAATGGGAAATGTCACACTTGAGCTTGTGCTGCCAATCTTTAAATTTCCCCTTGTGCCATTTTGATGATGATATATTAGCAGTACCGTAACTTAAACACCTCATGGTGCCTTCTTCTAGCAGCCCAAACACAAAAGAATTTGTTTTCAGCAATTTTCTGTCCATGCAGAAGCTGCTGGTGCTTTCCCACAGCCAGGTACTGAAGTTTAGAGAAGCTGTCACTTCCAGAGATGGGTAGAGAGAGCTCTGTGGTATTTCCATGGGGTTTCTCAGGTGTGGGCTAAACATTCATAGTGCTGCAGAAAACAGGCACCGAGGTTGTGCTTCTGCATTTTAGCCTGGGTCTCTGGAGATGTGGTTTTCATTTTTCAAAGTGGAGAAAAAAGTAATTTTTGTTTGGTTTTTTTTCCCCCACCTCCCCCCTGCCCCATTCAAGTCGCAGAAGTGACATGCAAACATGTCTGTGATGACTGAAATGTTTTAGTGGGTGGAACACCTCCAGGATTCCAACCTATAATTAGTGAGAAAGTTCTTTCTTTTTTCCTTTTTCTTTTTCTTTTTTTTTTTTTCCTGTGAACTATTCTGCCTGTTTTTCTAGGGGTTAATTTCTTCTGTAGGCAATCAAGAATATTTAATTTTGACGAAATATATTACTCCAGCTGTAAAACTGTATTGTGCTCTCGCTGCACATCGTGGTTCAAGAGACAATTATGTTTCATTTGGTTCATTCTTTTATCACAATAGACTTTGATGTGCACAGGCGTGGAATACTCGATAGCTGAGCAGCCATAGGATGCTGGATTCATCCAGATCAATTGCTAATGCTTTTCCTGTTAATTCAGGAATCTTGCTGGGCTCACTATAAATGCTCCTGTAGAAAGAAATTTCCTTCTGCTCTGTGTGAAGTTAGGTAACATTTCAATTTGCACTTGGCACAGCTTCTGACTTGATGAGGATTCCTTACACATCCCGGTTTTACTGTACATTGCTATAATTAAGGCAGTTCTGATTATAAAACTGGGATCCATATTGAATTGGTATCCAGATTTTTAGATTTCCTGGAATCACAGCAAATGCATATCCAGCTAAAATAAGCCCAAGTTGAACAGCCAGCCTGGAGAAGCAGAGACAGGATTTTCATGGATTAATGCAAGATATTCAGGATGGGTTTGTACTTCTCATGTTTGGCCAGTGTGACCTTTTCAGTGATTTGCAAGGATCCCTTTTGGCTTTGGTTCTGAGGCAGTGGCAGCTCTGAGAAGGAGAAGAGGGAGGACATGAGAGTTGGAGCCTCTGAAGATGCAGTAGCTCTCTCTTACCCACTGCTCACTGGACTGCTCACTCTGCTGGCTTCTCCACGGCTCCTTGAGTTTCTGTTCCCTGCTGAGTTACATAATGAACGTTCTCTGAACTCCCACACTTTCCACATGCCTTCCCACACGGCCTCTTTCTTCTGCTAAAAAGGGATGGCAGAATTCGAACTGGCTTGTGAAAGAGCTTTGCACAATGCTGCTGAATCACATCTCGAAATAGGAACAAATCTTTCAAATTCTCTTTGAAAAACAAAACAGAAAAGGAAAAAAAACCCACAAACAAACAATCCCCCCCCAAAAAAAAACCCAAAAAAGAAAGAAAAACCAAAAAGCCTAGCCCAAAATCAAACTGCAAAACACACACACACACAAAATACTCTCTCCCACCCTCCAAAAAAATGGACAAGGCATTGTGGAATGGTAAAGCTGAATAATCTCTTAATTCTTGCAGCACCATATAAAAGAAATCTTGTAGGTTGGGTAACTGCCATTATAACAGCAAAGATCTGTGACGTGGTTCCCATAGCTACCAAAGGTAACAGCTACTGCTGGCCAAGCTGGGCAGGTACTTGCTAGTCAGAAAAACGTGTGAAAATTCATTTTTCCAGTCAGTCTAGTAGTGAAATAGGACAATTTCAGATGACTCTGCTCATTCCTCCCTGCGTGGTTTGCAGCTAGGCCTGAACGAAGGAGCTGAAGCCCATTTGCAAGAGCCTTGACTGTTCCCAGTTTCCAGTAGTTCTCATTTTGAGAATTGCCTTGGTCTTCTGAAGAATTCAGCATCTTTCTATTGCTGGGAATCAAGGCACAGCCATCTGACAGGAATGTATTTTATCACTAATTCCAAATATACTTAGAAAACCAGTGCAAATTCACATTTGAACTGACTCTCAAAGTGTGAAAGCTTATTAGAGCATGATTAAAGTGTAACAGGACCTTGCCAGACTGGAGTTGGAACCTGTAACCTTTTATTTGATGGATATTAATTTGCCAGGTGTTAGCAAAGTCTTGGGTGTCATAAGCATCATTTTTATTCACAATTTTTCCAATTACAGGAAGTGCCTGATAGCAGGAGCGATTTTTTAGGGATGTTTTAGGGAAACCTGACATGTGAGAGAAGTGGAAGTTGGAAAGGAGCCCATGGGGGTTCTTGCAGACTCCAGCCTTGTTTGGTGGTCTTACCTTTTAGCCCAAGAGCTCTTTGTGGATTTTGGGAATTACAGTTGCCATTTTTCAAACTGAATTCCTTCTAGTTTCTCCCTTCTGAAAATCTTTAGGAAAAGTTCCTTATATTTTTGTCCTGATTTCAAGGTATTTTGAGGGGCTTAGCTTAGATCTGTTCTACTTCTTGTAACTTTCCAAATGTTCACCCCATGTTGACTAATCTTTTTCTTTATTAAAGTTTTCATTAAGTCTGTCACATTTGACAGCTGAATGTGTGTGGAAGAAAGGGGGCCTTTAAATCATACAGAACACACTTCTTTACAAACCATTTTATTTTCTAGCTCGTGTGCAATGTGTTAAAAAAATAGCTGCAACATCTCATTCCCCCCTTCATGGGCAGGCAAGGATTGCATCCCTACGATTTTCCTGCAAGTGACTAACATAAATGTCACTTGGATTTTGTTCCTGGACATTGTTTAATTCTGGTTGCTACTGATCTTTTTTTAGTACTTCAAGGGGTTTTGGTTGTGGGCTTTGTTGTTTATTTTTTCCTTCATTATGGTCTATTTTGCTTCATTCAGAGTTGAGAAACTGCTGCTGATGGTTTAGAAGAGTGCAGGGAGTTAAATCACGGTGGCTGAGTCACCCCCTGGCTACAGCTTAACGAGTTTACTCCAACCCAGAGTCCAATTATCCCCGTGTTTGTTATCAGCTGCAATGAGATGATGATAAGGAGAGCATGGCCCAGAGTGGGGGCACTGCTGATGTGCTGTGGTTTTATCCCAGCTGGCAGCTCAGCCCCACACTGGTGGGATGGGGAGAGCATCTGAAGGGTAAAGCTGAGAAAACTCGTGGGCTGAGATAAAGGCAGTTTACTAAGAAAAGCAAAAGCTGTGCTGGAGAGGAGAGAGAAACAAGGAAATCATTCCCTCCTTCCCACTGGCACCAGGTGCTCAGCAGCCCCAGCTCCATCACACTTGGCTGGTATTTGGGAGGAGAAATGCCATCACTGTCCTCCCCTTCCTCCTGCCCTGGCTCTCCCCTGATAGCCTTGGGCCACCTGTCCTGTCCACCCCGAGCCCACTGAGGAGCAGAAAAGCCTCTGCCCTGTGCAAGTGCTGCTCACTGATAACAAAAACATCCCTGTGTTATCCACAGTGCTTCCAGTACAAACCCAGAACACAGCCCTGTGCCCACCAATGAACAAAAAAAGTTACCTTTATCTCAATATGCCATCAGGGATGATAAGAGAAGCATCAAAAATATGTGAAATATGTTTTTTTTATTTATTTTTTCTTTTTTAATTTAAGGTTTAAGTTTTCCTTTATCCTAGGTCTGTGTGGGGTTGTGAGTTATTGTTTCATTCAAATAAAAATCCCTACTCCTGTGTCAGACTAGGACAATTTTCTGCACCAGTTGTAAAAGATCTATAATATTCTACAACACTATCAAAAGCATAAATTTACCTAGAAAACTTTAATTTTGAGGCTCCATTGTTCTATTCACTTCTTTCCTTCCTAATACACAGATGATCCCAAAATTTTCCTAGAAATACACAGAATGTGATGGTCTTTTTATTCCTCGCTGGGTGCTTGTTTCCTTAGAGTCAGAATCCTGATTTCACCTGAACACAAAGGACTTTTCTCTGTTGCTTCAGGGCACTCTCAGCCCTAGAAAATCTGTGGTTTTCTGGGCAGGCTGACTCCTGACTCCAGTGAGAAGAAAGTTCTCCCATCCCTGAGCCAGCACCAGGCGTTCTGCTGGCCAAGGTGCTTCATTCTCCTCCTGGCTGTTTCCTGAGCTGTTTCCTGAGCTGCACTGCACTATTTTACACACCAAATAGAGAAAGCTGCAGTAAGTAATAGGCAATTCCTAAACTTGTTAGCAGCGTCAGAAATTAAATTTCAGCCTATCGCTTGTAGTAGGCACAAGCTCTGTGCTCCAGCTCTGTGGTCTGTTCTGTCTGTTCTGCAGCTTCCTGAGGACAGCTGAAATTGCTGATTGGCTTGCCTTGATCTCCTGTGGTGCTGAGCTCCCTGTGCTGTCAGTCCTGGTGTCCCTCTGTCACCTCACACCCAGCACATCCTGTGGGATCAGCGTGGGATGCTCAAATGCTCAGGTGAACCCGTGTGTGGGGGAAGGACTGGTTTGGAATCCGTGCCATCAGCAAAGCTCTGATCTGCTCAGCGCCTCAAGCCTTCAAACTTGAGCATCTCTCTGCCTCAGGAGTGCTGCCAGAGAACACAGAGCTCAAACACTGCAGTTTTGCAGAGCTGAAACCACAGACAGAGAGGAGCACAGCCCTGCTGAGTGTCTCCCCCCCTGCCAAACAAGACATTTTAGTCACTATCTTGTCTCATTATCTCAGAAAACTCCTTGTACCGAGTGATGCAACCAGTCTGGACTAAATCTGGAGTGCTGAGATCCTCAGCACCAATCCTGTGCCCAAAGAGAGCAGCACTCTGCTACTGGAGCTGCTCTCTGAGGTAACAGCAGCTCTGCAATATCTGAGATTACTTCAAAAAGGAGAAGGGAATATGCTAATGCTTGTAGGTGCTGGCAGTTGAGAACATATTTGCACATGGAGGTGCTGATAATTTTGTTGAAATAAAGCCTAGAGTGGTATGAAATAATAGATTTTGAGAGTGTCTGGAAGGAAGGAGGAATAAGAAAGGAAAGTTTTTAAAACACACATTAGGAGTGTGAGTTTGTAAGGGCCCTGGTAATGTTGCCTGTGCTGGATCCTGTGGGGTTCTGAAGGAGTGAAAAGTGGATGCTTCAAAATAAATGTCCCTTTCTCCCTCTGTCTCTAGGATTGATATCAAGGCTTTACAGGCTCTTCACACAGTGCTGTGGCTGGTATTGTGCTGTACCTGTGTCATGTACTACATCAGAAAAATAAATAGATATATTTTTAATTTTTAGGTTAATATTTTTTTCCTTTTTTTCATCTGCACAGTTATGGTACCTCATGGACCCTCCATGACTAAATGTTACAAAAATGCTGCCTCTTTTCATGCCTTTCTCATGTGTCAGTGAAAACCACTGAATGAATGGTACTGTGAAGTTGTGGCAAAATACAATAAAGCAGTCAGTATCATGATAGAAATTCTCATCTCCGTGCTTAACTAATCCATTTCATGCTGAGAAATAGTTTTCTCTTAGTCCATGAACATTTCATGGGGTTTTTAACCTACTTTCAGGAGCTACTTCAGGTGGAGGACAGGCTTGCCTGCATTGCTGTGTATTTTGGGAAGGGAGGCTGGGAGCTGTGCTCTGCTCCCAGGCCAGTGCTAAAAGCTCCTGAGGACAGATAAAACACCACACCATGTGGAATTTGGCCTCTTTGCCCACTCCAACACAGTGCCAGCACCTGTCCCCAGGTAATTTTGCTCTCTGCCCAGCTGATATTCTTGTGATAATGACTAAAGCCCTAAGGTAAAGATATTTAATGATGCAAAGCTTTGAAGTTGTTGTGGTTTCCCCCTTGTCATGGATGCAAAGCTCTCCATCACAAAGATGAAAGGTGTGGAATCAATGCCAGAAATATATAGTTAATATGTTGACAAATACTTCAAGCTCTATACAGTCTGCAGAAGGAATCATAAATTTTATTATGGACTGTCAGGCCACCATATCAAGAAAAAAACAGGCTGTTTCTTTTACCCTTGGTCTGCTGAAATCATTAGTGGATATTTTATGTGGTCTCTTTGTCTGTCTTACAACAATCAAACCAAAATCCCAAATCATACTGTTAAATTTGATACATTCTAGGGAAGAGGACAGAAATGGAAACAAAGCTGAAATCTGAGGGGCACCAAAACTTCTCGTGAGGAAATTGTGCAGCTGTGCTTAGGAAGGTCTTTAAATATTTTGTATTCTATAGTCATGCCTTTAATGGAGACTTCAGATTCTTTGATAATCCTTTTTTTTTTTTTGTTTCATAGCTGCCTTTTGAAAAGATTCTGGCTTAGCCCTTGCACCTCTAAACTGGGCTTAGTAAAACCCTGGCAAAACAAAGCTGAGGCTGTAGGCATCGGCCCAAATGAAGCGTTAGCCCCGATGCCTCCTTTCAAGGATGGAATCAGAATGTTAACCAACAATAGGGATTCCTTCCCTGTGCCAAAGGAATTCTGTTTCTTTTTTTCCTTATGACAGGCTGTCAAGAGAGTTCTCAGTGCTCTGCCTTCCCTGAAGGATCCCAGGAGCATCCCCAGGTAGCTGGGCTGCTGCACAGCTCGCAGTCAGCTCTGCTCCCTGCTCCTTACTCGCTGCTGTGCTTCCACTTAAGCAGCATTTTCATCAGCCTTTGGTGCTACCTGCAAGAGAGAAAATTGGATTTGTTATTTTCTGCACAAATGGGATGGAGTCAGCTGTTACCTGCGTGAAGTCTCAGGCTGATTTCCACCCACTGTCAACACTCTGTGTCTTTCTAAGTCCTCTCTGAATTATGCTGGTATGAAAGCACCAGGAGAGCAGCTAGACTGGGCAGGAGTGCTAGAACTGCATAAATAAATATAAGAATATTTTAGATTAATAATTCAGCAGAGATATTGATGTGGGTTAGTAATCTTTGGTGTGTCTAAATTACTAGTTTTAAAATTATCACGCTGTTCTAGTCAGGTACTTTAAAACTTAAACCACTTTACTCCCCAGGCTCTGGAAGTTTTTACAGTCCCTGCAAGATCCTCCTGCCTGTTGACATTGATCTCATGATAGAATTCAAACTTTTCTCTTTTTTCCCCCCACCAACACTTCATATGGAAGCTATGAAGTAATTCAGCAAGTAATTGATTAAGGAAATGTCAGGTTTTACGTGCATTGTCAGCTGATTTTAGATGTACCAGCAATATCTATCAAAGGTGATAGTGGAAGGAAAAGGTGTTTTGTTGGAGACAAGTGTTCAAGTGTTCAGTGGTGAGAGGATGTACTGCTTAAATTTGTGTCTCTTTTAGACTTCATAGGCTGTAGGAGAGACTCCAGTTTTATAAAACTCCGTGGTGCTGCTGAATTTTGATATAACAAAGCTGTTACAACTTTCTTAAGGCTAGATAGAAAAAAAAGAGAGTGCTTCTTTTGCACAGCATAATGGTCTGCTGATGACTTTTTTAATGGGGATCTTGGAATAAGCAAAATCAATTTTTGTCTCCAGTAGCTATCTGAGCACTTGCAGGAAAACATATCTTGTAGTTACACATAAACACTATTTTAAAAACTACATTAGCCTTACGAGAGAAAATAGAATTTGTAATTGTTATCTCTTACAGAGCATATGGAGAAACACAGCATCTTGCAGGATTATTGTTCCAGAGTACAAAAATGTGAATTTCTTTGTGATCCTTTGAACACAGACTGTGTCAAAGGTGCTGCTGCTCCATAGCTTTTCCCAGATGCAGATAAATTCTTCCTGCCTGCGCCTCAGCCTCAGCAGTCTCCAGTAGCTCAGTGCATCTGTGTGTGTATAATTCCTCCTCCCTAGGGGCAGGCAAGGGGCACAAATCTCTGTTTTGAGATCATCTAGGAGCAGAACCTCCAGCCCAAGCCCCTCTGCTGCTGCTGTGTCACTCAGGGGTGCTGGCAGCAGTGACAGAGCACAGGGAGCGACTGGAGGGGCTGATGACACCTCCCTCCCCTGGCAGTGGCTCTGGGGGCTGCTGGCTGTCACTGCTGCAGATTCCTGTCCCTGCTGGGTGCTGCTTTGGGAACACAGCCCAGCCCTTGAGCTGTCCCAGCTCAGCTGGGCTCCTGGAGCTGTACCTGGTCTGCTGGAGGTACCCTGCTCCCTCCTCGGAGAGCACGGAGCACATCCTTGACTGCAGCTGTTGTAAACTGCTCCAAGCTTTGCCAGAATCTGTCTCCAAATCCATGATTTTCCTCCCCTCTGGGCTCTGTAACGAATTCATCCTGACTGTTCCTCCTTCTTCTACTGGTAGAGTAACCTTCTACTGAGTAGCTTGGGAGCAGAGTGGGAAGAGCCGTCTCCCAGTGTAACCTCAGCTCTAATTCCATATCCTCGTCAGATGGACAGAGCAGAGTCCAGGGCTTGTTTGGGGGCTGGGGAAAAGCAGGAAATTGTCATCTGGAGTCAGCACCATTCTTCTTGTCTCCAGACTGAATTTTCTGATCAGCTTTAAGAAATTTTGTGTTTTCCCCACCTCTGGTTTTCTGAATATTCCATAGCTGGTGACACTGTGTCTGCGCTGGCAGATCCAGCGCCAGGAGGAGCGGGGCCCTCGGGATGTGAAGGAGTGTCTGACAGGATGGGTGTTCCTTGGAATGCTCCTGAGAGATGTTTCTCAAACATTTCTAGGGGAGGAGGAGTAAGGAACTCTGTTTGTCTCGCTGATTTCCCCGGCTGCTTTCTAGATTTCAACCCTAATACAATCCATCTCTGTGCAGATTTTTGAACGTCAGTTTCTAGCCAAGGTTGTCATGGAATTTACATCTGGAACTTGGAGCTGAGCTCTGAAAGTCTGACAAGTTTTATGAACCAGCTTTGCAGACCTGTGAAGTTTTTCTTGGCTAACATGCATTTTCTTCTATGTGAGAGAGAGGAGGCTGCCTCCTCCAGTCCTTTTTTTTTTTTAATGATTTTTTTCCTCTTAGATGAGACTGAAGAACTGGGTAAATGACAGATTTCAAAGTGATTTTTACAGACCTTATTTCTTTACATTTATTCTGTTTTGGATTTCACTCAGAGGTAGCTCTCTCCCAAATTTGCAATGCCTGTGTTAGGATGCTGCTGCACATGGATTTTGGATGGAGAGTCTGAAGAAGCCTCAAAGGAATAATAAGGTGAAGGAGCCCATTTTAGAGACCATTGTGTATAAGAGGATTTTACTTTTTTCCCCAACCATTCTCCACTTCTGCTAATGTTTTAATGGGGAAGTGCTGGGGAAAAATGATGACAAATAGAGGAAAACTGGAATGCTTAAGTATTTAATAAAACAGCAGAAATATATGAAGATCTAAATCTCTGCCAAAGGAAGACCTAATCCAAATAATTTATTAAAGTTAAGTCTCATGATTGCTTCCTCTTTCATTGCTCCCAATCAATTATTTGCCTTATAAGAAGGCATTGGTGGAACTTCTCACTACTAAGTTAAGCAAAACTTATTAAAAAACAGCCTTTTCCCCATGCTTCTGCCATTTAACAATACACATCTTTATCAATAATCAAAATTTTTCCTTGGGATTTTTGCTGTATATTATTTCTTCCAAATCTTAGAAAAAATGAGA